CTATTAGTAGCTAACTATTGCCCTTAAATAGAAAAAAAAAAAAATCTGACAAAATTCACTGAGACATTACCTTTATCAACACAAAAAACCCCACCACATTCATCTACAATACATTTTTCGCATGCCCACCTTTAGTATTACACAAGACTGAAGCAGTAGTCAACACATAAAAGTTAACTTCAGCGTCTCACCCTATGTTCCTGGGTATAGGTTAATCTTTTCAGAACAAGTGCATGACTGACAACAGTACTTCTCTATGGATTACAAGGCTCGAACAGGTATGGTCAGCATCACTGCCTCACTAGAGACTCAATGTCAGTGCGTCTGTAACAGGCTGCACTGACAATTTATAGCAGCTCAAGCCTATGCTCAAAGAACAGTCCCACATGTCAACATAAATTCAGCAGAAATGGAATAGCAGCGAAAACAACTTGGATTTTGAAAAGTGAAACTGAAAACGAAGAACTGTTTCTTCGCTAGCACATAACAGTTTTTACCAAAAACTTTTTCCGTAGCAGAAGTCACAGCGTCACTTTCTTCCTTACTAGCAAAAGTCAATAAAGTGTTAGCTGAAATCTGATCAGCAGCTTGCTCTCCACTATTCTCCTGCCCACCCTGAAACAACACAGACTTGGAACTCATTAGATGACCCTATTTATTCACATTCAAACTGAAAGAACTATCACATCCTCTCCCTCGTTGTGATGAAGTGCAGGAGCTGCTTCTAGAGCTCCAGGCCATCATAAGCACCAGCACTAAGGTCTTCCGATTATCTTCCCATAGTCAGGTGAGAAAGAAGAATCTAGAATTAGACATGTAAATACCTGACAAAGAAAACGGAGACCGAAAAATCTTTCAAGACCATGTTCATGTATCACATTGCAAGAAAAGCAAACCACTATTTTTTTTAAGCATGTGCTTTATTGCATTCCTTTGAAAAAGATATTCATGCTTCTGTACAAATCTTGAAAATAATACGCAAAACAGACTTTGACACTTCATACAGACTCCAATATCAAATAACTTCAATTAACTCTGTTCTTCAGCGATGAAACCTGCAAGACTTCAACTACACACCTGACATTCAAAAAAAAAAAAAAAAAACCCCACAAACCACAGACACATACACATAGACTGTCTCTTTGGGAGCCTCTCCCAACTAAACCGCTTCAGCTATAGGATTATTCCGTTTTTAAACTCAACGATACATTTCCCATCTTCCACACAGATTAATGCATAGGATATTACTCTACTTTGAGCCTTTGGAAGAGGACAACTCATCTACATTACAATCCATTTTCACCAAGAGAGTAGCATATTATAATGCTTTTTCCTGTCAATAGTAAATCCCCTATCTGAACAGGAACAAGCTGAACTCCCACATAAAGAATAACTAAAAATGACTTGGACTCGTTTGCTTGAAGAACTCTTAATACACAGATGCAATACATGAAGATTACAGGTTGCATGATGCAACACATCATCCTGATGGTAGCTGCCTATCGTTCAGATTAAAAAGTGTTATACTATCAAATACTAAAACCTGAAATATGTGTGCAATTAACACTATAAAAATTAGAAGTGAATACAGTATGATGCAGAGAGCAAGCCTCAGGCTTTTAACATGGGGCCAATGTGGTCCTCAACCAGGCAACATTTCACTAACTGGATAAAACATTTATGTCTGGCAAAGAGTCTCAGTTGGGTGTATTCAAACCCAATTTGAGATCTCCTTTAACTAATTAACCACAGAAATTACAATTTAACTTTGTTATTATTGGGTAGCATGCAACTATTGACATGCACTTGCAGCATGAGAAATAAAAATATTTATTAGAAACAACAGACTCGTTAAAAAAAATTTTCCAGGGATCTTTAAATGTACATTTTCAAAGAAGTCAGACTTACACATTAAGAAAATATTTGACTTCAATTCTTCAATAATTTTTCCACACACATAGAAGAGGTAAATACGTAAGACTCGAAAAAGGCCACAGTCAGGAGGAATACTGAAAAAAGGTCTGGAAACAAAAGGAAAAGTATTTTAAAAGGCATAAATACAAGCTTAATTGAAAGAATAAGCTGAAAAGCACAAATGCTCCACGTTTTTCAATTATGTGCATTTTTAACACATTGAAGACTGTAAATACATACTATGTTCTCTCCCGAAGAACACCATCAAATACAAGTTCTAAACAAGTTGGATTAAAAATTGCTAGCAAACTCCCCCAAACAAGGCCTATTTTAATCTTAGCTTTGTCACTACATCTCAGGCATTTGTAACTGGTAAGCATAAACATATGATAACTTTAAAACAAGATAGAAAGAAGTAACTGGTACCTCAGTCCATCAAATTTTAACTGGAACTCAAAAGATACTTATCTTTTCTTAAGCATGGATTTTAATAAATTCTATAGCTAAGACTTAATTATAATTTTCTACAAGTTTTGCAAAGGCCTGAGAGGGAGGTGGAATATTACATTCACAACATTTGAAACAAGTTAAGTAGATTATAAAGCAGATATAATGAATACAAACCCTGAAAATACATAACCGTGTGCCACTGTTAACTCTCATTAAAAAAAAAAAACAGACACATCACTAAGCACAAGCATTAAGTAACCACTTGAGGCTCTAAGCCTCAATTTTCGCCCCCAAAAAATGCTCCAATATGTCAGTATTTTGTTTAAAAAAAAGTACAGAACAGACAGAGGAAAAAAGTTTTAGCTATACACTCTAATCTGGTGAGAAATGACAGATAGGAGTAAGACACTTCTAAGTTAGGCATCTTTTACAGTTTTGCCATTTAGAAGAAAAAAAAAAAAAAACACAACAAAAAACCCACAGAAATTCAAAATACCTTTCCAGGTAGGTAATATTTTCAAGATTTCTGTAAAAATTGTTTACACTTACTTAAATTTTACCAAAAAAACACCAAACCACAAGCAAAACAAAACACTAAAGTATTTTCCATGCTTGATCCCATCCTACGTGTGTCTGCAAATTTAGAGCGGTCCCTTCATCTCTACAAAGATCTGGACACACGCAGGAACTTACAGAACTAGATCTTCAGGAACCTACAGAGCAGAGCTTCTGCCAGTCCGATACGATCTATCTGACACAGCGAAACGCTGCTTTCGTAAAACTAAAGCACAAAATGAATATAAACCACCAAATCGCTCTCGAAGCTAACACACACAAACACAGACGGCCGCGCCGCGCAGCGAACTTGCCATTTACGAAAACAGCAGCTCGACGCTCCGGCGACACGCGGCCACCGCCAGCGCACCTG